AAAGCAATAAAATGAAATAGAGTTAAGAATGCTCATTTATAATAGAGAAGATCTCCAACACAATTGTCACCATTAAATCTTCAATCTTTCAATCACCATTGAAATTCCTCATTTTCTCTCTCTAAAATCTACTCCTAAACTAACCCTAAAACTAGAGAGAGAAGCTCTTAATTAAGCAAAGAAAATGATCAAAAATGTGAAATGAAGCTTATTCTTAACTTGCCCCAAAATCGGGTTTACAAAGGTATTGATAGAGGCGCGAAAAAAAACGGAGCAAACAAATACACAGGAAGGCGCGCCCGCGCTGCAGGGAAGGCGCGCCCATGCTGTAGGGGTGGCCCGCCCGCCATGCTTGTGGCGCGCTCAAGCCCGTGCCTTGCGTACCCGCGCTTCGATCTTCTCGCGGCTTCGTGCGTTCGCTAAGGTCTTCAAAAGAACGCACAATCATGATGACGATGAACACTAAGTGAGGCAGTCCCAAAAGCACATGATTGTGGGTTCAACACCCCATATTTATGAGAGCACGGCTTAAGAGTGCAAGAGCTAGAACTTGGAGAATCCACTTCCTTGCATCTTGAGTTTTCCAATTGCTATGAGCTTGCTCCAAAAGCTTCCTCCACCTTAGTAAATTACCAATATCAAGACCCAAACCTCGTACAATACCTACAACCACGAAAATAGAGCAAATAAAGGAGAAAAGACTAGAAAAAACATAGAAAAGCACAAAAGCTACAAAAATAAGAGAGGAAAGGTAAGACTAAGACCAAAAGCATAAAACTAAGCATTTATTAAGCATGAAAGCCATGAAAAGAAGGAAGAAAACAACCTAAATGCTCATCAAATGGGTTCCATTTATGACACCCATCAGTTGTTTAGCTTCACTCAACCGATTTTAAAAAAGCTAGGGGATAAGTGCCGATACTTTTTCCGTACTATTAAGAAGAAAGCTATGTTCGAGTGGACCGAAGAGCCTAAGGAAGCCTTTATACAGCTGAAAAGCCTTTTGCATAAATTGCCTCGGCTCGTCAGTCCACTCAAAGATGAAAAGCTATACATGTATCTCGCTATTTCAGATCACTCTTTAAGCGCAGTCCTCCTCGTGGAACAGGACGGCGATCAGATTCCAGTCTACTTCATTAGCCATATGTTCCGTAATGCCAAGCTTAGGTACCCACCCTTTGCAAAGTTTGGTCTGGCCTTGTTTATGGCATCCAAGAAACTGCAGCCGTATTTTTTAGCCCATTCGATTGTGGTCTACACTGGTCAACCTCTTAAGAAGTCGTTTGCAACCTTGGAAGCTAGTGGCAGAATGCTTAAGTGGGCCTTGGAGCTTAGGGGTTTTGACATCACATTAGAACCTAGAAAAGAAATCAAGGGTCATGCTTTTGCTGATTTTTTGGCAGAAATGACTAGGCCGGACCTACATCCGACCGGGGATCAGATATGGAAAGTTTATGTGGATGGAAGTGCAACAGCAACCGGATGCGGTACTGGAATTATTTATCAATCCCCCGAAGGAGATAAGTTTGATTGTGCGCGGAGATTTCAATTCCAAGCCTCTAATAATGAGGCTGAGTATGAAGCTCTCCTGGCTGGCCTTAGAATGTGTAAGGCGGCAGGAGCAACCAAGGTTGATGTGAGCTCAAACTCCCAGCTAATAGTCGGCCAGGTGAATGGTGACTTCAAAGTAAGGGAGCCGGCCATGATGAAATATTTGAAAAAAATTAAAGAAGACGTCGAGAGCCTTGAGCATTTTACTCTGCAACAAGTGCCCCGTTCGTCCAATCATTAAGCGGACGCCCTCTCCAAATTAGCATCCTCGGCATCATTTGATACTCCCAGATCGGTGTTTTGGGAAGTAGCGGAAAAAATAAGCATTGATGTCGAGCCAGTACAGACCATCAACAGAAGCTCAACTTGGATGGACAATGTCATTTCCTATCCGAGGGTTGGATTGCTTCCGGACGATCCGAAAGAGAGCTGGTTGATGAAAAAGAGAGCGGCTTGGTTCAAGATGAAGAACGGGGAGCTATTCAAGAAAGGTTTTTTGAAACCTTATCAGAAATGCATTACCCCAGAGAGGGGGCATGATGTGTTGGACGACCTCCACCAAGGACATTGTGGTTCGCATATTAGAGGATGAGCTTTGGCCAAGAAGCCCACCCACCTAGGGTATTACTGGCTGAGCTTAAATATAGATGTCATTCAGATGGTGAAAAAAATGTGATAAGTGCCAGAAGTTTGCAACCCTAATTCATCGCCCAGCTAATAGTTTATCGGCCATAAGTAGTCCGCTCTCTTTTGAAAAATAGGGCATGGACATCTTGGGACGTACACGCCAGCATCAAGGCAAAGGTGGTATGTGTTGGTAGCAGTCAACTACTTCACAAAGTGAGTCGAGGCCGATGCCGTCCGAGGGATTAAGTAGACAGACATGTCAGCTTTTATTTGGAAAAACATAATTACTTGCTATGAGGTGCCACAATCAATGGTGTTCGATATTGGACCCCAATTCAAAACGCACCAGCTCAAAGAATGGTTGGGAGACCATGGCATAGCTCACTGCTTTGCCTCAGTCGGCCGACCACAAGCCAACGGCCAAGTAGAGGCCTACAACAATTTGATCTCTAATGGTATCAAGCGCAAGCTTGAAAAAGCAGGCGGCCTATGGGCCGATGAGTTGGTTAATGTGTTATGGTCCATACGAACAACATCAAAAAGCTCCACAGGGGAGACCCCATTCTTTTCTTTCTGTGGTGCTGAGGCAGTTCTCCCAATTGAGATGTACGAGCCTACCCTTAGAGTGATGTTGTATGATGAATCGGTCAATTGGGAGGCTATGAAGACTGCTCTAGACTTCCTTCCGGAAGCTAGGGGCAATGCGGCATTCAGACACGAAATCTATTGTCTGAGGATGACAAAGGCATAAAATTGCCGAGTGTCTAAGCGTGCGCTGAAGATGGGGATCTGGTTTTAAGGAAGATAGAAGTGGTGGGCCGAGCCAATGAAGATGGGAAGTTAACCCCAAATTGGGAGGGGCCCTACTGGATTACAGAAGAAGTGACAGATGGTACTTATCGTCTTGAAGCCTTAGAAATCTGTCCTATCCTCGAACTTGGAATACGGACAATTTGAAAAAAAAAATATTATGTTTAAAGCTTATCAACTAAATTTTGCATTAGTCTTTATGACCAATTATTCTAACTAAGCCTTCATGGGCGAACGATGTAATTAATCAAAACGGCCACCAACAATGTAAAATTTTGACAAATATTAATGAAAAGTCAAGCATTGTTGTTAATTTTATTTTCTATATTTATGTTCATAATTAAAGCAAGCTGAAAATGCCGAATAAAATTGAAAACATGGATGTTCAAAACTATGCTTGTCGGGCACCACAAATAAGCCTGATGGGCACCTGAAATGAGAAACCAATGTTGCTTCAACATAGCAACTCGAACCTTCCCAACGTAGGGCATGAAGTGTAGGCCGAGTAGGACCTCAATGAGAGTCCAGCATAATGAATTGACTCGGCCACACTAAGTCGAGCGATAAACTGAATTGGCCGAGTGAAAATTCTAACAGTAGGCATTCGTCCACTAGTCATGTGGAGGCCGATTAAAAAGTTAATAGAGGGTATCATTACCCAAGTCACTCGGCCACATTTAAATAAAATGCTGACTATTGAAAATAGCAAGAGCATACCTTGATTAGCCGCTCGGCCAACAAGCCTAAAGGCCAGTCAAACTGTTCGATCCTATTAGGACGACTTGTAGACCAAGAGGGAAATAAAAATTGCCTAAGGCATAAATATCCTAGTTCAGGGCAAGGATTCCCTAGGCAACCGAGCCCAGTAAATAGGAATTCACAAGTTGAGATCATACTTGGAATTTCTTGAGCTTGTTCGTAGGATAGTTTCAACGGACGACTCAACCAAAAGCCAACAAAGGCCGTATACTTTAAAATTGATTCGGCGTTCACCTAGTCCAAGGGCAATCATTATATATGATTTAATCAACTAAATATAGTCATACCCTTCAAGGTATAAATCTACAAAGTTAATAAAACCACCTGGAATTTTGACTAGGCAAACGCGGAATAAAGGGGCATACCCCCAATACTCGTACGAATGAGCAATAAGCATATATAAAAAAAATAATGTAAATGCATAAAAATTGCCTAGTACGAAAATGCAAAAAACCGCTCAGAAGGCGGCAAATTGAATTAAAAATTAAAACCACTCAGTAGGCGGTGAAATCCTTACAAAGACCGCTCAAAACAGGCGGCCAATAAAAATTGCTCACAATGAAGGCAGATAGAAAACAAAAATTGAAGACCAAAAGCTTAAAATAAGCTGCAGAAGAGGCTCCTCACTCGGTCGCATCATCACCCCCATTATCAGCATTGTCGTCATTGGCCACATTGTTGGCATCATCAGGGGGACCTCATCCTCGGCCACCTCTTCATCGTCGCCCTTGGCTTCATTTTCGCTGTACCTGGGAGTCTCGACAAAGGGAAAGTAAGGTTGACCGACAACCTTGCACTCTTCATTCATGATGAGAATCAACAATTGCAATTCCTAAATCAATGGTCCGTATCATGAGAAACTACAATGCAATCTATAGTAATTCTGAAGGCCTAATCGAATTGCACACATGCAAACTTCCATTAATCGATTTAATCTCAACAATTAATCAACACAATTCCCAAATTATGCACAATCAATCAATTATACAAGTTTCACCCAATCCCTAGAAAACACTACTCTAACATCATCATCTAATCAACTAACAACTAAAGAAATCATGAAACAACAAAATATGGATAACAACAACACTAATCAAGCATAAAACACCAAAATAAACCCAAACAAACAAGAATATTTAACAAATCAATAAAATGAGATAGAGTTAGAAATGCTCATTGATAATAGAGAAGATCTTCAACACAATTATCACCATTGAATCTTCAATCTCTCAATCACCATTGAAATTTCTCACTTTCTCTCTCTAAAATCTACTCCTAAACTAACCCTAAAACTAGAGAGAGAAGCTCTCAACTAAGCTAAAATTATGAATTCTAATTCTCCCCAAAACCTATTCTAAAACTTTCCCCACAAGTTGGGTTACAAAGATATATATAGGAGGCGCGACAAAAAACCGAGCAAGGAAGTACCCAGAGAGGCACGGCTGCATGAGCAGGAGTAGCGCGCCCGCGCATAGGGGTTGTGCGCCCGCTCTCGTGCTTTGCGCGCCTGTGCGTTTCTGGGTTTCTTCAATCTTCTCGCGGCTTCGTGTGTTCGCTAAGGTCTTCGAATGAATGCGCAACATGATGATGATAAACACTAAGAGAGGCAGTCCCAAAAGCACTTGATTATGGGTTCAACACCCATTCTTCATGAGAGCACGGCTTGAAAGCGCAAGAGCTAGAACTTGGATAATCCACTTCCTTGCATCTTGAGCTTTCCAATTGCCATGAGCTTTCTCCAAAAGCATCTTCCACCTTAGTAAATCACCAATATCAAGACCCGAACCTCGTACAATCCCTACAACCACGAAAATATAGCTAATAAAGGAGAAAAGAGTAGAAAAACCAATAAAATGGACAAAAGCTTCAAAATAAGAGAGGAAAGGTAAAACCAAGAGCAAAAGCATAAAACTAGGCATTTATTGAGCATGAAAGCTATGAAAAGAGGAAGAAATCAACCTAAATGCTCATCAAATGGTTGCCATTTATGTCACCCATCAAATACCCCCAAGCTTACCTTTTCCTCATCCTCGAGCAAAACAAAACCAAGGGAGAAATGATGATCTTATTCAAACAAACAAAAAGAAGAGAAGATACAAGAATATATACTAACTCACTATCTTAGGAATCATGGTCAATTTTAGCAACTAAAGACAAGCCATTTAGACCCCTAGATCGCCATAGAGGACGAGTGATGCTCTCGTAAAGGTTTCCTAAGAGATTAACCTATAACTCTTGTAATAATACAAACATGGCAAAGCATGAAAAAGAAACTAAAATACAAGAAAAGCAAACAAATGTTCATGAAAAGACTTTTTTCAAATGTACAAGCATAAATGAATGCAAATCTTTATAAACAAGTAAGGGAGTGCACGTTCTAAGATATCTAAGGTTGTGAAACATAGGATATGCTAAGCATAGAGAACCAAAGAAACGCAATTCACTTTCATCTCAAAATATTTAAGAACATTTTCCTAATTAGCTTCAAATCTACTTTTTAGTGAGCGTCTTTATAGTTCCTCGAAGAAACCGGAAAAACAAATAGATTGGAGGTTTCTCGACATCTTGACTTTGCATCCCCTTTCCTTAGGCTTTAACTCATAATGCCCTTCCTTGATATGTGACTCAACCTATAGGTCGAAAGGTCTTTCCCAATGGATGTAACGTAAAGGAAAACGTTTGAGGGTAGGCTAAAATTTAAAATTTTGGTGGTATCCCTTATAGTGAAGCAAAGAACGGGCCCTTTCTTAGAATCACAATCAAGTAGTCACCAAACAAAAACAAACTAACACCACCAAGCGTATTCAAAGCTATACTCAAAAACATATATACAAAAATCATTAACGCTTCTCCCCTAAGCTTAAATGAAGCATTATCCTCAATGCTTAGAAAGGGAGAAAAGATTCACATCAAAATATTTTTGAATTTTCACTTTTTTTTTTCTTTTTATGCATATATTCAAAGCAATTGCCCTCGCCTCTTTTATCTATGGACAGCTCTTACAACTTTGCATTATTATGTCCTTTCCTTTTTTAACTTTGGACGGCTTTTCCATCAGTCATTTGCCATTATTCACAAAATATACAAAACACAAGCTTGCTTACAAATATAACCAAAATTCCAAACTCATATACCACAAACTCCATGAACATGATCATTTGCTTCACAAAAACCAAAAATGGAACACAAAGAAATAAAAGGCTCAAAGTACTAAAGATGTGGCTTCAAAAGAAGGGAAAAGTCTCAAATGGTTAGAAAGAAGGCAAATGTAAACCCAATAACTAGAAATAAAGAAGATTAACCTAGAAAAAGAAAAATTACCACCCCGAAAAGATGCCTTTGTCCTCCCTAGATGGTTCAGTCATGCAAGTAATTGAAGTAGGCTTGAAAATCATGAAACCTCACAAGTTTGTAGGCTTGAAAATCATGAAACCTCACAAGTTTGTAGCATAAACTCACTAAAAGCTTCAAATTCACCAAAAGGGAGCAATTGCAAATTTTCAAAAATAATAGAATTCGGCTTCAAGGTTCCAAAAGTTCTAAGCGACTACCTTAGTATACTCTATCCTAGAATCAACCAAACATACTCTCAAACCGTGCACACCATTACCATTTAAGAAGAAAAGCATTCAACTATACGAGTCCAAAAGTATTATGTCCGAAGCAAGAACAAAACAAAACACATTGCAATTTTGCCTTGATAGAAACAAAAATCTTTTTGGAGTTTTTCAAAATATAAGAATATGGAAAAGTATATACAAAGGTGCATAGCATACATGAATCAAAATCCCATCAAACATGATAGAATACCCTCCTCCAAGCTTGAATGAGACAATACACTCAAACATAAATCATAGAAACCATGGTAGGGGAAAACAAAAAAATCAATCCAATAAACCAACATATATCCAACAAGTAATCATCCACTTGAGAAAGAGCAGCGAAAGATATTACCGGATATTAGGTGGGTGTAAATACTCGCAAATGTCCCAAATTAAACCTTTCAAAGCTAATTTCCTCAAGAAGTGAACCTTGCCTTCCATATGCTAGCAAAAATAGGAGTCAAACTTCCTTGATTCTTGATCCAAATCGAAGCACCAAAGTATATCAAGTCATGTACCTGATAAATCACATTCATATAGGATTTATAGGCACGTTTATGCTAAGTTTGTAGTAGCTTTTAAGGACTTTTTGCTTCTTTTTAGGACGCAAATGCATAAGTTGTTTGTTTTGTGCTCTATTACACTTCGTTTGTGTTTTTCTTAATGTTTCAGGTGATTTTATAGTCATTTGGACGCTTTCAAAGTGTTTAAAGTTGATTCAGATGATATTTAGATGGAAGCCGATGAATCAAGTTTATTAATTGAAGATTTTGAGATTTATATGCACGAGGAATGAATATAGCATTCATAAGGGTCGTTATGCACCTTTTGGAATCAAATTTGAGTTGGAAACAAAGTTAAAAGATTGTTTACAAAGTGTCAAAACTAACTTTTGTCCACTCTTTTGATCATAACGTGAGTTTTACAGATCAAATTGAAGTGATTCAAGTTGCGTTAGAATCTAGACTTGAAAATCTTTCCAATGATAGGTCACGTGTTCCAAGAAGATTCCTAGAACAGAAGTTATAGGGGTTTGCATCCGAGTGATGTAGTCAGCCACCCGCGGGATAATTGTTGCGCCCCTATCCCGCGACCACTCGACACCAGCAGGTGCTACTGCCAGCCCGCAGGCTGTGCCTGCGCTCGCAGGTTTTGCCGAGCAGCAAAAGAAGCCCACGAAGCATTATCGCTGCACATATAACTTGTATCGATCCCTCGACCTCACTTACGGTTTTATGCCACGTCATCATCTATCGCCCAATAGCATTGCAACTTATGTAATTTATATTTTCTTATTTCTTTTCTTTAATTAATTTTAAATAAGATTTAAGAAGTTTATAAATACTTCAAAGGACTAGGGCAGTGCTACACGCGCATTGCACGCGAAGCAATGTGGTGTTGTTAGTGTGTGAGACCGAAAAAGTGATATCTTTTGGCTAATGTGTAGGTTTTGTTTAGATAATTATGAATTAATGAATATTAATTAGTGAATGTACATATTGATAAATTGAATTACATTAGTAGTTAGTGATTGTACTTGTTTTTTGAAATACTTAAACGTATAATTTATTTATTATATTATTAACTAAATTTTTTTGAATGGTTGAGGGTTTAAAAAGTAACTTGTAAAAAAATTCTTATTTTATATTAGTAAGTTATTTAGAATGCTTGTATTTGTCTTATTCTTGCATGAAAAACGTATGGCCAAATACATACGATGCAACATTAAGGTGTATCTACCTTATACTATTGGTATACGTTATGATGGGTTACAATTGCACCGTGTAATGAATGTATAGTACGTGTAGCTTAGTAAGCAAATATCTCAAACAAAATTATTTTCACATGTCACGTTGTTAGTGTGGAATAATAAGCATTGTCAATAACAAATAATCGAATTGAGCGACATTTTGTGCACCATATATGCTAACTTGCTAAGTCATATGTCAAGTAGGAATAATGACTTTCTTTAGCTTAATGGTCAGAATGTTACTTTTTTTTCTAAAATGATTTATACTACGTATTTAATTTTATGTCATACTGTTATAGTGATTATATAAACTGTTTACCTTCTTTAGTAACCTTTTTTCTAAAATGATTATATTTCATCGAAATTTTACTCAACACATGACCTCTTAAAAGTGATAACTCTCTCTCTCGTATAATTATTTATATAAATTTCTGATGTTCATAGTTAATTCATGCTTGCATATAAACCTCTTTCTTATGGTTTCACAAGTATGAAAAACCTATCTATATTTTCATTGATATAATCTATTATGGCTAATTGGTTATAGAAACATAAAAGAAGCAATTAGTTAACAATTTAAAACTATTATACCATAAGGTTAAAAAATTTTATTCTAAAGAGATTATTAATAAGTTTGATTTTTTCATGTTCACTAATTTCTCTCCATTCCCTCTTTCATGGACAATATGTCTCTTCCACAATTAAACACTAAAAAATGGTTTTTTTCTACTGCTCCCTACCTCACCCTTCCTCTGTTTCCCTAAGGGTTTGAAATTATAAGTCACACTTGTTCCCCCTCTAACTCATTCCTTACTCTATTGCCCCAACATCATTCATATAGCATTTTATTTCCCAACCATTTTAGGTAAATCTCACCAAATTATTTATTAGATAGGGATAAAAAATAATACATATATAAAATTTTTGAACTTCAGAATTAGAAAAAAAAATACCTGAACCAGTGGAAATAGGAGTCTTAATGATATTTTCAGCAAAAGGAACATCATAAACAAGGTTCTTTAGCAACATGGGATCAGCACCAACTATTCCCACCAGCTCTAACACAACAATTCGCCTCTTCCTTGACAAACAACGGTCCTTCCCTGGTACAATCAACGATCGATTTACCCTCAGGGCTAATAACCGCCCTGCAAGAGGATAGAAATTAACAAGAACCTATTACAATGATTCGCTAACAATTTTTGCATCATCCGCATCTCCTTTCTCTAGTGACATTCAAAATTTCGTCACATTCAATTAATATTACTGGTTTTCATTAGGCACAGGTTGGGCAACAAATATATATATTTGTGAGTATGACATCTGTCAAACCAGATATATCAATTTAAGAGTTTATGCAATAAGTCTATAACATCTCATATATTGCTAAAAGAGAAGAATAGACCTATAAGCACAAGATTCACATATGCATACTATATCGTTTTATGATAATAGTGGGGAGGGTGATGTGATTGGCAAATTATATAGATTATCCTTTAGAAGTTGACTTATCATCCTTATGTCAAATTGCTACCTCAAGCCGAAGGCCCGATTAGGATTTTGAAATTCGACAATGTATAGAATACAACTGAGTTCCACCTGCCGGACTTCCCAACCATTTCATTCCCCAAAATGAAAGATCACAACTTCGCAAGTATTGAATCCAAGCCAGCAAGGCAACATTTCTATCAACTTTTATGATCCTAGTAATAATCTTGACACATATAAACTATATATTCTATTGCAACAAATAATTTCACAAGAACAAAAATCTAGACAATCTACTCTCTTGAACAGCTAATAACAAACCATTGAAAAGAATTTTTTTCTTCTTTCAGAACCATCTTGAAAAAAGAATTCTAAGCAACTGCATAATTAAGCTAAAGTTTAGGCATTTTAGCAAATCAATAAACGGAAGCCAAGCAATAAACACACAATGTCACACTAATTAAATAATCAAAACCCTTTGTTTCATCTCCAAACCAAGCCAGAACCTAATTCCTTCACCAATGGCATAAATTAACCACAACATTCATTTTTACAAACCAAACTCCAGAAAATAGTTAAATCAACCCAATGTCACACTACAACAAAGATCAAATCTTTCACTCTCCAAAAAACAATCTTTATGCAAAACTACATATTTACCAAAAATTGACAGAATTAAACGAATTTCTAAAGTAATCCAAACCTTAAAATTACCTAGGAAGCATCAAAATAAAGCACATTCATCATAAACGACAAACTTCTGTTAGTCAAAGCAAATTCATCTTAATAAACAACAAATTCCTAGTAGCTAAAGCATATTCATCTTAAACGACAAACTCTTAATAGCCAAAGACGTAGCAAACGCAAATCTCCCAACAATCTTAAGCACTAACCCCCAACACCATTGCATCCCCCAACAAAGCGGTTGAACAGAACCCAACTACCCCAGATGAAGACAGAGAATGTCATGACAACAGAGACGTCCGTCGCAAAAGCCCAAAAACAAGAGCCATTACTCAATGATTATAAAAATTCACATTAAACCAACCTTTATAGCGCCATCCATGGAATTAAATTAAGATAAACTGACATAAATTATCATTATCATCTTCTTCATCAAAGATTTTCACAACAATCTGGTGATAATAACTTGGGGATAATTTCAATTCCCAAATAATAACAAGAAAAACCCAATTCAAACACAAAAGTACAAAACCCATACAAAATAAGTTGATTAAAATAAAAGTATAATCAACAATCTTTACCCCTTAAAATTAACAATCAAAAGGCTTGAAAATCGGAGAAAAAAAAAACAACAAAAGAAATGTACCTATTGCGTTCATAAAGAGGGAAATCCCTGATCTTAGCGAATTTCTTATCAACTTTATTAACCAAAGACCGGTAGATTTCAATCATGGGTATCCCACTATTGTGTTGCGCCATTTTATAGTATCATTCTCTTCTTTCTCTCTCCTCATCAGACTCAATTGTCCACCTAGAAAAGGGACTAACAGATAGAGAAAGAAGAATCCTCTTACAAATAATTCAACAAACCCAGAATTAAAATTTAAAAAAAACAATTAAAATGAATACAAACCAGTAGAAGAGTGAAGAACATGAACAATAACAACAACAACAAGATCTCGAGGTTAAGCAAGGTCTTCAATACCAGAGTCGTCATTCCAGTGACCAATAAAAAACTAATATATTCACTTCATTTTAACATACTTAAACTCAACCTAAAAAAGAAAAAGAATTAACCTTCAATAGCTTATCTGGGAGTCTTGAATTCCAAACTAATGATCTTCCATAACCTGTTTCCTCTTTTCCCGGGACGCTTTCCCTTTCCTGTTTTCTTCAAGCTGCAATTTCCATAATATTATTAAAATAGAATAATTTAACTTAATTATTTAGCAAATTTAGCATTTTACAGAATTGGATGATTACCTCATAAACACTTTGCTGCTTCAAGGCCTTCTCAGTCTATTTTACAAATAGTGAAATGTTAATTAATTATATGATAACATAAATTCTGTAGGATTATATAATAAGATCGAAATTCAGTAAATCGAAGTAAATGATATGCCTTCTTAACCACGCCATATTGTATCCGAAGTTTCCTCTTCTCTCCATTTCTTCTTTATGAATATTTTTCCCTGAAATTAGGGTTTTCACATTAGATAAATAAATTGAAAATCCACAAAATTAGTTCCCTAAAAAGAACCAAAATTTACCCATAAAATAAAATAAAATAAAATAAAATAAAATAAAATCAAAGCTCTGGTTGGCAAAACTTTTGAAGCTCTTGTTAGCAAAGCATGCTTCATCTCCGTAGCCTTCCAGGTAAGAGAAATGCAAGAGAGAGAAAGCGAGAAAACTGAGAGAGGATCAGAAGAGTGAGAAAGTTGAAGCATTCAAGCTAAGTTGAATTTCTAGAGCTCTGAAGTATAATAACTCATCAATCAAGAAAGGAGAAAGAAGAAAATTCCAAGGTAAAAAGTAAGTCAGAATGATTCATAAAACAATGGAAAGGAGGAAAAAATGACACATCGGCTCTTTCACACATGCGATTATTGTTCATAAGGGAGTAAAGTGAAACCATTTAAGGGGTGAGGATTATTATTTTTCCCTTAGGCCGTTTTTACGTTCGTTTTCTTAGCCCTAGTTTTTCTCATGAGCAATTCCATAGATTCTCCATGGATTGTTCTTCAGTTTATTAATTTTATTCATTAAGGTATTTTATTTCTATTTTCTTGCTTTTAATTATGTTTTCTTCCTTAGATCTAGTTTTTATTATTTATTTCATGCTAGAGTAGTTTATTTCTAGGATTTGGGAATCCATGTTTATATTATGAATCTTGATTGATAATTTTAATATTTTGATTATTGATTTCTCTAATTGATAGTGTTTTAATGTTAATTTTGCAACCTGATAAATTGTTTGATTAATTATTTTTAATAAGAGTTTGAATCGAAAGATCTTACTTTTAGAGGTGTCTAGGGTAAAAATACCCTAGACAGGTGGACTAATGAGAGGAGGCCACGTGGTGAGCTCAGGATGGCTCAAGTGGCCCAATATCCTCTTGACACGTGGCCCCCTCAGATAGGCTTTTGAAATGGCGGCCTTCAAGGGCCCAAATCCCTAGAAGCGTCGTAAAACGGCGCAGCCCACTAAAATCTAGGTTAAGTGACCTAGATAGGGGCACATTCTCCAACGACCCTATAAATAGGAAGATATTTCCCCATTTTGGGGACACATTCAATCATTTATTACACCTACTTTCTCTCTCAACAGAGAATCACCTGAGCTTGGAATCCAAGCAGATCCCCACCTAAATTTCCGCACTCTTTATTCTCTTTTAAGTTACTAACTTGATCTTCGGAGGCGGAGCTCCAACCACCCGGAGTCTCCGTTGTTTTGCAGGTACAACTCAGCCGAACCAATCTTTGTGACGTAACTCTCCCTAGGGACAAAAACACCGAAAACATTTGGCGCCGTCTGTGGGGAGAGTACCTCAAGGATGGTTCAAGAATCTGTACCACCTCCTAAGCGTCCGGGCGACGACCCAGATGTTTTCACGGACCAAGAGGATGAAGATCCTCAGGTCGAAACTTATATAGCCGAGGATGGTTCCTTGATAACCAAGCACATTCGGCCAGAGATACTCTGGAGCGGGGTGCCAACCAGGCGGGTACAAATCGACCCCTTAGGCAGCCGAAAGGGGAAACCCATACGGCCAGCGGATCATCTCCCGTCATTCAAGATGAACTCATGAAGTTCATGACAAGTTTCAAGGGTGAAATTAAATATCTGATCACGAAGAGCCGGGCTGGCCCAAGTATGGGTCAGTCGACAAAAAAGACTCCTCTGGAGAAGGGGAAGTCAGTCAGAGATCGGTAGCCAACTCCTCATCCAAAGGAGAAGGCAGTCGAGACCATTGATTGGTCCAAAATTCTTCTACCTAGGAGGAATGCCAACAATCCCCGCCGGACTCAACAGCCGGTGGGAAGCAAAACGTCAACTCTTGACGCCCGGGAGATCATCACCCGCAAGAGAAATAAGCAGTTGTCTGAGTCGTCTACTACGTCAAACTTTCCAGACAGCTTCAACAACACCTCTGTAGGGAATGTACCTTTCTTGCATGAGAGACAAACAGGCTGTAATACCGTCCATTCTGGTCCTTAGATGATTGGGACTGCACCGTATGTACCTTCTCAGGTCTACGGTCAGTATCCTCCCTATTTCATACAGCCGACCCTCTTTGCAGGTCAGGCGGCATACAACAACGTCCAGCCACTGGACTGGCAGCTTCGTCTGCTCCGCCTGGGTGAACAACCTTCTGCGTTCACCCGGGAGATAACCGAGGCGGCACAGCCGGCCAAGGTTAAAAATGTGTTGGTAGGCACCTATGGCGGTACCTCCAACCCGGAAGATCACCTCATGGCTTACACCAACCTCTTGTACTTACAAGGGTTGGATGATGCCACTTGGTGTCGATGCTTCCCGGCTACATTGAAGGACATTGCCCAACAATGGTTTGGCAACTTGCCAGCCGGGTCCATTGATAGTTTCAGGAAGCTTGCCTTCTGTTTGGTTCCAACTTCTCGATGAACATCCCTGCGAAGAAAACAAGTCTTGACTTGAGCATCATTAAGCAGGGGGAGAGAGAAGGATTGTGCTCCTATGTCAGGCGGTTCAATCTGATCAGAATTCAGATTCAAGGACTGTCTGAGGAGGTAGCTTTTACAGACTTTTTCAAGGGTATGAGAGACGGGTCGACTTTTAAGTTCGACCTAGTCAGAAAAAGGGCTTTCACTTTACAGGCGGCCCTGAGGGAGGCGGAAAGCTATATTCAAGCAACCGACCTCTGCTCGCCTGGAAACCAGACGGACTCTAAGAAGTCTGATAAGCAGAAAGACAGCCGGACTGCTCAGCCGGCCAAGAAAAAAGAAGAGAGAAAGAAAAGAAAAGAAGTTTGGGCGGTAAGTGATTCTGGTCAGTTGTCTTAGAAGAAGAAGAAAGAATTTAAACCGTATGTTCCTAAGTATGAGTTTAACAAGGACTGCAACTCCATCCTCATGGAGATCAAGAACCGACTGTCTCTAGAGAAGCCGAATCCAATGAAAAGTTCCATTCAATCAAGGAACAAAAATAAATTCTACTAATACCATGAGGAAGTTGGCCATGACACCAACGACTGCTTCAGCCTTCAACGGGCGTTGGACCGTCTGGCTGACAAGGGGATGTTAAAGTCCTATATCTCTAAGTCCAAAGGGACTAATAAGAAGAACCCGGGACAGTCGTTAAGACACCCCATCCTACTAGCAGTTCGGACACTAATAAGGAGCTGGTCTACACCATAGCAGGCGGGTTCTCATACGGTGGCCCTACCATCCGGGGCACCAAGAGCCATCTTCAAAAGATGGACAATGATGATGATGATCAAGCGTCTGCTAGCTCCTCCTTCCCAGACGTTCTAATCACTTAGAAGGACAGGGGCAGCATTCGCCATCCATATGACGACCTGGTCGTCATTGAATGTAAGGTTGCCAACCAGCTGGTTGGACGAATCCTTATTGACACCGGCAACTCATCGGACATCATCAGTCTCCGGTTCCTGCAAAAGCTGAAATACAACGTCAGTAGCATGCATCCGGTTACACACCCCCTAGTTGGCTTTTGGGGTGGAATGGTTTACCCAGTCGGAAAGGTTGATTTACCAATCCGGCTGGGTGAAAAAGGAAAAGGACGACACCTGGTCGTCAAGTTCTTGGTTGTTGAGGAACTGACCACCTATAACATTATTCTAGGCCGGCCAACCCTTAACGAAGCCAAGGCTGTAATCATCCCTTCCCTCATGCTCATCAAGTATGAGAGGGATGACGGCTCTGTTGGTTCCTTGAATGGGGATCAAAAGACGGCCCAAGAGTGCTACCTCTCAGCCGTCAAAGATACTATGACCCCAGGCGACCAAGGCTCAGAACTAATAGACCTTGACAATATCAAGGATGCCGATGCCGCCCCAGCCCCAGCCCCTTCAGCAGTCGGGAAGAAAAGAAAGGCCCCGCTGCTAGTGGAGGTGAAGAAAGAGAAAAAATAGCAATCACTGACCGGGGAGCGGTCAGCTGAGCTCCGTCCCCAGCCGGATGGATACCCAGAGCGTACTATTATGGTTGGGACGGCTGCTCATGCTAAATTGGATGCAGATCTGCACCTCCTACAAAAGGAATTCAAAGACATTTTTGCCTTTGAAGTGGAGGAATTGCCAGGCGTTAGCCCGAATCTTGTTGTCCACAAACTCGCCATGGATCCTAAAAAGAACCCCATCCGGCAAAAGAAAAGAAATCACGGGGAGGAGAGAAGTCAGGCGGCAGCTGCCGAAGTAAAAAAGTTGTTGGACGCTGGGTTCATTCGGCCATGTAATTTTCCCGACTGGGTTACGAATGTTGTGCTTGTAAAGAAGTCGAATGGTACCTGGCGTATGTGTATTGATTACACAGACCTCAACAAGGCATGTCCCAACACTACTACAAAAAAGGCCTTAGAGAACTGTTAAAATAGGCTTTATAGATTGCCTTAGGGGCGTTCTTCTGCTAAGCGATGTATAAAGTATAGAGAACGGGTCGTTTAGGCGTTTATATAATAACAAATAGAGAACTGTTGTTAGTCACAACCGTTCTCTTTTCCCTTCTTAAATTTGTACACTAAGGAAGGAATAAAGAACGGTTTAGGCCACTTAACCGTTTTATATTGCATTACAATAGAGAACGGTTAAGTTAAATAACAGTTCTTTAATGTTTTTTTTTAAAAAAAAATCCGGCCATAATTATTCGAATTACCCTTGTACGTATTTTATATTGTATTATTCCTGTATTTTAATAATCTGTATTATTTTTGTATTTTATTTTAGACATGTATTTGTTATATTCCTGTTTTGCATCTTGTACATTTATCCTGTAAGAAAAATTCCACACTATGTAAAAAAAATCCATGATCGGATTATCCTGTATACGTGCAATATAAATTTCTGTATAATAAAATTAACTAAAATATTTCTTGATACGACGAAATCCATCAAAATATACTTCATATATATAATTTAAAACATCCAACCAAAATTAAATTGAATCATTCATACAAAATTTGTTCTAACAAACAAATACGTGAGTTAAATATCAAAACACCTTTCTAGTTAATGTTGATTTTATAAAAAAATTTGCTTAGATATACCAATACCATATTGATCTACAATTCACATAAATCGTCGTCGTCGTCATTTGGTTGATAGTATCCGGTAACATTTGTCGTCGTCATTTGATTCACATAAATCCACCTTTATCTAAGCTCGTCGATCATTTGTTGAGAATATGTATGAAGAACTTGCTTAAAATACTACAAAACAATTTTGTTTGGGGGCTTTCGAAATATAATTTTGAAGGTTCATAGTATGTCAATAGTCACTTCCTTAGAGAATAGATCAATGGTACCAACAGTCAAGGGTACCGAATCACTTAAATGTGTGATTCAATTTGTGTTCTTAAGCCTTGACCGCTTTGTTTTCCTTCCCCATTTAAACCGTTGTTAAAAAAAAAAAAAAAGTGTAATGCTAAACTTTTAGTCATGTCACGAGATAGCGACACTTGACGTTTCAAATTTTCGTCAAGTGTTGCGCCACGTTGGATATATTTAAATAGACTTATGGCCTGTTCTCATTGACTGAACTCAGTTGAATTG